AATCTCGCCGCGCGCCGCGGCGGTAGCTTAGGTTGCTTCGTCGCGCTCGAATTCTTTCCTGCTGTTGCGGGGGTGTTTGGGATGCTTCGGTGGGGTTCGTGGTTCCCGATTCGGTGCGAGACCCAGGGATCATGGAATCGCTCGCTTGTGCTGGAGTTTTTCCCCCCGGAAGCGGGGGATCGGGAACTCGAGATTGGTTTTCGGGGAGCTTGTGCTTCGTGGTAGCTTGCTCTGGTCTCAGTAGTCGATTGCTTAGTCATTACCACCTGGGCGTACTTCCCGGCGACCCAGTCTTGCTGAAATGGAGGGCGAGGTGGGTTGAATGGCATCACGAAGTAGATTCGATTCCCCGCCGTGTTCTATTTTCCTTCAGTATGTACGGGTCTAAGAGTAGCTTCATCCTTGTGATAGAGTCTTGCTGTGAGATTAATGGTTGCTCTTGTTCCTTGAGAATGTGGTATAATAAGGTTGTAGCTTCCTGGTTAAAATTCGGGTGCCTGCATTGGAGCTTGTAGACAGTAGGCTGATGAAATCTTATTTGTTTGGGGTTCAGCTAGTACGATTTTCTGCCATGCTATTCCTGCTCTGCTTTTATTAGGTAGTTATCCTGTAACTGTTGATAATTTCTTTCGTGTATCCAAGGGATGTCAGTTACTCTGTTATGCCGAACTAATATGTGGAATCAATTTTATCAAGTGCAAATTGCATCCCCTTGCTGTATTTCTTTTCTTAAAAAAGACTTAACGTCCAGTTGCTGTTAGCTAGGTTCTTGTTGCTCGGTCCATAAATAGAATTGCGCGCCCATGGCACGAAACCCCTAAGTTTGCTGTCCCATAAGTAAGTAGGTTCTGATCTAGCAGTGTGTGCGCGTCTCTGATTGATGCATACCCTACCTATGATGTGATACATTTTTCGCACCCAATGTACTCTGTAGTGTATTCTGGCAAACTATTATATGTTGATATTTTGAATTCTGAGGGTCGTAACTCACACGAAGAATCGACAGCTTACGCTGATGGAATAATGTGGAGATGGATCTCATCTATTTTTTCCTGAATAATTCATACCATTTTGCACTCATCAAAGTGTCCGATCATCTTTGATTGATGTATATTCTACCTAAGATGTGATACATTTTCCACGCATACTGTACTCTGTACTGTATTGTGGCAAGCTACTATATGTTGATATTATCAATTCTGAGGATTATAACTCACATGAAGAATCGCCAGCTTACGCTGATGAATAATGTGGAGATGGATTTCATCTAAGTTTCTCTGAATACGCATTCCCTTTTGCACTCATTGAAGTGTTTTTAAATCAGAGTGAACGAGTTACGTTCTCGACATAATTTGATATGCATGCAAAGTGTAGTAATATGATGACTGATGAGTCACGAGTTCATGGCTGTTTGCACAATACTTATGTTTCCTTGATTGTTTTGATAGGTCTGCTGAATCTCGAGCAATGGAGCGGTCTTTTCAGTTGAATCCGCATGCCACTCCTTTCGTGCCTGCCTCCAACAAGTCTCTGTTTGCGGAAAGCTTGAAAGGAAAGAAGGACCCCGAGAAGCAAGTAGATGAGACTGAAAAGAATGAGACCGCTGACAAGTCTGCTGGGTATCAACTCCCAGAGTCCCTTTCTTTTGATGACTATGCTGAAAGCCTAGGAAAGATCAACATCTCTACTGAGTCATCATCAAAAGGAGAAGCTGCTGAGGCAAGTCACGCGGGTAATCATCATCTCGCCGTGGTGGAATCTCTCTCGCTGATGTTCCCAGATGTGTCTGCTGACTTCATTCTTGAAGCACTGAAGGCCAATGAATTCGACGCAGTACTCACCATTGATATGCTTTCCGATCTGGTACGCGAAATTCTCGTATCCAGTACACTGATTATTTTTATGGTGTCCTGATGCATTAGATTCTGTGCCTAGTTTTCTGTGCAAGCCTGGTAGCCGAATCAAACACCATGTCTTATTTTATTTTTCTCTAGCCAAAGCACAGCCATTGCCATCTGTAGACAGCATTAGCTGAAACCATTTCTCATTGCTAATGATCTTCCATGCTGAACTCCCTTCGGTGCGAAGCTGATGACAATGTTATGGTGTCCTGATGCATTAGATTCTTTACCTGGTCTTATGTGCAAACCTTGTAGCTGAAGCAACATCATGTTTTTATCCTATAGCAGAACATAGCCATTGCCATCTATAAAGTGTAAACATCATTAGTTGAAACCATTTCTCATTGCTAACGATCGTTCCTTGTCAAACTCTCTGTTTCAGTGCGAAGCTGATGATAATGGCCACTCTGCCGAAGTATCAGAAAAGCCGCAGCACCATGGCCCTTCATCCACATAGGCGGCATGAGAAGTCTCCAGCTACATCTGGTCCAAGCCAACCCTTCTCCACCGTCATCAAGACCCGATGTAGCGGAGTGTTCCATTCGTCGTGCCAAAAGCAACAAGTACTATGTGTTTGGGGTTTTAAATTCCGGGTGGGATAGCTGGTCTGTTTGTTGGAGTCTGCCTCATCGTGATGCCTGGTTGCAAGTTGTACAGCTCTTTTGGCGTAGCCGTTTAGACTCCGGAATTCGACAAACCCTGTGCCGCGGGCTGCGCTTGTTTCATGAACCTATGCATTGCCGTGTTCTCCCGCGTTCCGAGCGGGGAGGGAGACAGATCATTCGCCTTATTTTGGTTGTGTGGTGCGGGTTTACATGGGTGCGAAGATTTCCGATTTCAGTTGGTTGTGCTTTGCAGAAACGGAGGCGCCTTTGCGTGATTTGACTGAATGTCATATTGAGGATTCTAGTGCAAGATTAGTGGCAATTGTCTTCTACTCATATGCCTTGATATGAGTTCGGCTGCTGCAGCTAACCCACAAGTGGTAGCTGTAGCACATTGTTTTCAATACGATGGCCTGAAAAAGATGCCACCTGTTCAAGTTTTGCTTTGTAGTACTCTTCAAAAGGCGAATCGTCTCTGGACACCGTGAGAGGGACTGTTCTCTGCGTCACTCCTCCGTCGAAGCTATTCGCCACTGTGTGCGTGACCCCCCAGCTCCGCCTCGCCCTTCCTCAGATGGGCGCTCTTGGGCTTCGGTTGTTGCTCCCGCAGTGTGTGTGCAAGCTCCTGAGTCTGCAAGGATTGTTGAAGCTCCAAGCGAAGGTTCTGTTGATCGGGGTGTTGCGACATCTGATGATGCTATGCTTGTCTCGTTTCGTGCGGAGCTGCAAAGCTTGGTTGAGTTTGCGCTCCGCCCGCTGCGCAAGCTGGAGGACTCTTTGTGCCTGTGGTTGGCACGTGCGTCCGACCTCTTGGAGCAGGCGGAGGTGTCTGATGGTGAGCGTGGGTTGAGCCCAGCCTCCTTGCAGGGACCTTGCTCCTTAGGCACTTCCGTTCATGGTTTGACGCTACCAAAAGATGGGAGCAAAGGTGTTGATGACATTGGCGACAAGGTTGGATTGGCGCCCTCAAGGTATGTTGCTGACGTGGAGTCTACAGGGCAGCATGCGTCGGTCAAGTCTATGGCCTTGTATGACAAGGTGGCCACCGAGCTTAGCCTTCCTACTTCTGCCTCCAATGAGGTGTGGGGTGTTGCAAAGGGATGCGCATCGGCATTTGAGGGCCAAAACACTTTACACGTCTTCATCGAGCTGGTCAAAAGCCTTTCTGCCGTGCCTGCAATCACCCAAGGGCTGATTCACCTTGTCAATGCAGCGAAGATCAAGAATGTCAACCAACTGGCAGGCGTCGCCTCGGGCGTGGGGACTGCATGTCATGATGTTAGCCATTAGTATGTGCCTTCCTCTCCTGTGCTTATTATTCTGGGAGTAGTCCGCATGTTGTTTCGCGGGATGGCTTTTGTAGCGCGCCATCTGCGGGGTCTTTGTTGGCTTGTCGGGTCTGTGTGTGGGTTTGACCCTTGATGTACCGGTTTTCGCACGGTTTTCCTGTAATTAACCGGGCAACTATCTTCTTCTCTATTAATGAAAAAGACAAAGCTTTTGCCTCTATTTCAAAAAAACAAAGGCGAATCGTTGCTTTTAGTCTTACAATTCACCTCCTATCGCCTTTGAGTGCGGTGCAGTGCAGTGTAGACTCGGGGGCTATCAAGAATAATCTCAAAAGGCCCTTCTTGCACACAGCATTCAAAACAAAATAAACCACAAAAACTATTTGAAGTTGTAGGTTTCAAGTTCTACTACGTCTGTAGAATATCCATGACAGCAAATTATTTCCGCGAGATATCAAACGTCGTAGACATCTACAGAAAAATTAATCGGTAGGCTTGATAAAAAAAAATAGAGTAGTCGGAACAAAAGCTAGAACTTCAGATAATTTGAAAAAGGAGTGTGTTACAAGTATAATAGGAGCAACTGTCGACAATTTGATCGCCCAAAGACGATCATTTCATGGTTTACCGAAAAACAAAGACAAATCAAATCAGATAGTCCTATTTCTCCATCTTGCCGACTCTGCTTCCACCGAGCCAAGTTCGAAAGGATTGAAGATTGTAGCACATTGTTTTTCATTTTCAGTGCCATGGCTTGAAAATCGACAAATCGGCCTGGTCGGCTGGGACCTCATCTTGAATAGGACATCTGAGGAGGGCCTTCTCGCACAACAGCCAAAACCAAAAATAAAGCGCAAAAGATGAATAGATCCGTGGCCGCAACCTCGCGAGTCGCGAAGCGCACGCACACAGAAACAGAACTACGAGCTCCTCGCCCTCGCCTCCCCACTCCACTCCGATTCCCCCTCCGCCGCCGCCTCCGCTCGATCTCCGGCCTCCGGGGCTCCAGCCCCAAGCTCCCGGCATTCTCCGCGAGGTTCGTTTCTAGGCCTTCCGCTTAATTTCCCCCAAAGCGGGCCGATCGGTGCCGAGCTCCTGCCGCGATTGGGCGCGGTGGCCGCCTCTGTTCCGGTTTCCGCGTGCGTTTGGGGGTAGGAGCTGATCCGTGGGAGGCGCAGCTCCAGAGGTTCTGGGTTTCCCTTGAAATGGACTTCCTAGCCAGCCCACAGTATGCGGGCTCAGAACGAACAGTGAGGTTTTTCCGTCAGTGGGGCAAGGAGGGTCGGTTCCTTGCAGTTTCGTCAGTCTATGAGTCTGAGGCCGGGATTCTCAAGTGCGTTGCGTAGATGAAGTTACCGGCCGCCGGAGATTTGTACTTCTTGTTCACAGTTTTGAGTGGAAGATATACTGAATTTGACTCCTAACAGGATGTCTCTTATTATTGTTTTTCTTCAGGAATTGCTATGGAATGCTTGACTGCGAGTTTCGCCGCAAGGTAGGCCCTGCTGTTGGTTATGCACACATCTTCTTTTCAGATACTGAATTCAAAAGGGAAATTCGACAAAATGTGGCGGTTTCTGTTGTCTCTCTTGAGTTAATTTGACATGATATGTTTGACTTTCTTGACAAGGAATGCGTGTATGGAGTATAAATTCGTATGCCCGAGTAAGCCTGCGTGCGAGAAGCAATGGATTCCTGGAAGGGTTCTCTGCTATTTTACAGCTTACACAAACTCTAGCAGACGCTGCAAGGTTGCCACTGGGGTGTGTCCCGTCAGCCCAGTTGTTGGCAGGCGTTCACGCTGGAGATCTTTCGCAGCAAGTTTGAATTTAGAAAATGGGCCTGCACCATCGAGTTCGACATCGTCTTCATCAGGGCAGGCTAGTGAGCAGCTGACCTCAGCCGAGGTATTAGTCAAACTCCATATTATATCGTTTCACATGTGAAGCTCATCATTCTGAGCACATGTGCCACTTACTCATGAAACCAGCTGTTCTTCTGTGTTTACTAAAGAACTGCAAGTTGGCATACTCTGTCTAAAATGAAATGGGGGCTAGAATTGTCCTCATACCTCTCGAAATGGTTATACATATATTAGTTAATACTACTTGTGAAAAGGGAAAAGCAATCATGCTTGCATATGTGGGTGCTTAAGCTATGTAATGTTGGCCACACGTGATGCTTTCGGATCTGTTAAAAGAGGCAGTGGTGATTTATAAATCTTCTCTCATTATTTTGCAGTTGAAATCTCTTTTGGCTGATAAAGAACGAAGTAAGCTTTTGAGAAAGCTAAGTGAAGCAAACCAGCTGAACCGGTTTCTCAAGAGACAGGTTCTATTACTGAAATCATAAACCATACATCGAATTTACTTGATTGATAGTAAAGTGTGGTGTTGTATGACTGGCCTTCTGAGGAATAGTTCGTTATTCTGTTGAAGAACTGCATATATACATTCATAATTTCTTATTTTCATAATATATATGCCAGGAGCTCTGACCCAAGCTGGTCCTAGGACTCTAACCTGGGTATGTGAGGAGGCTACCACCAAACCACTGACCTGCTCCTTTAGATTCAAAATTAGCCGTCTATCCAGGCTGGATTTGTGAATTGCGATGTAGGTCAGATACGGTGATCTTTTTAACCGGGGAAGGGTCGCATCTAGAACTCTTCTGCTACTTGCATGTTACAATTGTCAGTTCACATGACACTGTCTGCTAACTCAGCAAGAAAATTATCAGTGATCATAAATATTAAAATTCTGAAATGTTATATGTTAGAAGTGGCATAACTGTTTTCCAACTTAAGCTTATCACGGACCAATGAGGTTTTGTGGGAAAAGTATGTTTTGTGTAGACAGCAGCCCGGGATAGAGTTGATATGTAAAAGTCGCATGATACCATTTCTCTTAATAGTGCTAGGTCATTACTAACTAGATCTTATGTTCTACAGTCGCAAATAAAGGATGATGCAATTGTAAAGTTCAGAAGTGAACTTGCTGTTTTGGAACTTGAACTGCAGGTTAGCATTTTCTTTTTCGGATTGTTTAACTGTTATGCATAGTTAATTGGATTGGCTCAAGATGTTGTCCGGTGGTCACGTGTTCCAATTGTTTTGGCCCCCTTTTGTGTCCTGTTTATCAACAAAATACATGTTTGGTCCTTTCTGTGATCATTCAAAAGCAAACTGCACAGTTTTTAAGGTGACTGTTTGGTAAATGGTTTGTTGCTGATCAACCCCCCTTATAATTATGCTGATTTCACTTTGCACAATATTGTAAGCTCTTAGATTTGTCTTCCTCAGTACTGCATGTATATAACTATGTTTTCTTTACTGGTTTTGTTCAATATCGTCTTTTGCTCATGTACGTAACCACCACCTTTGATGTTTGTACTGGAAAACTTTGTGCGTCTTAACTCTTTCTTTATGTCCACAGGCTTTGGTTGGCCTAGCTGAAGAGATTGCTAATTTTGATGTTCCATCAGGGTCGAGGAAGGTAAATGGAAAATATATTCAGTCTCATCTTCTCTCCAGATTAGAAGGTAATTTAGCAGAAAGAGCTACTGTCGGCATGATTGATGCTCTCCATCATTACATTTGTCATTGTTACCTGTTTTGCAAAGACATTTGACAATAGTACGGCAGCTCACTTAACAAACTTTGCCTTGAAGTGGCCCACTGAATTCAAGCCGAATGATGAATGCCTATCCTTGATGCCATATCTCCATAGGATTGAATAGACAGTACTTGAGTTGATTAGTCATGGTCCATGTACAATCCATTGGAAATAAACATTTATTTGCTGTTGATCTGTTGTTAAATTTCTACATATTATAGTGCTACGCTAGGTAGGTCATGGAACTGAGGTTTGGTGTCTTAGGCCGGTGGGATTGTTCCAGTTTGTTAAAGAACTCCCTAGGTATTGACCTGAAATTTGTGGCCTACCCACTGTAAAAAAACATATCTAATTCACTTAAACAAATTGATCCTTTGTTGTATTGATCTGTTTGCTTGTCATAATAAGTCAACTATAAATTCCAGCATACTGGAAGTCACAATTCCGCTAGCATCATTGTTGACTGGCATGGAATACCTAGTGTCCCTAAGCAGGCAATGGTGACTATCCTTTGTCATTTATAACCGTAGTTCTCACTGTCATGTTATGAGTTGTGATATGGATATCTGATATGCAAAGTAGGTAGGTTGACAGTGAGATCCAAGTGCATTTATGGTTATTATAACTGTGATCTGATATTCTGAGTGCTAGCATTTTATGATTTCTCAGATCTAAATTTCGTCATCGATATATTTCTGTCCTCACATTAATAATATTGGAGAAACTTCATGCTTATTGCAGCCTTACAGCAGCTAAATATGCAGAGCAGTCTTTAGTGTGTTCTCACCCCCCTTTGGTGAAGTACAATTGGCATGCCAACAATAACTAAATGTGCTTAGCAGTGCCAACTGCGAACAAATGCTTGTAATATCATTTTTTGTGACATCTAGTTGCATAACAGTATCTAGAGCTGTGTTAAAATAATACCTTGTTTCATACAAGCGTGCAATGCTCTAAGTTAAACTTTGTGCGAAATCGGCTGACTGATAATGCTAGTGTTTGCTTTCCTGCAGCTGTCCATGACAAGGTTATGGTACAGATAAAGGACATTGAGTCTTTAAGACCTCGAGAAGTCGCTGTCCATTGGGTTGGCATGGCTGAGGTAAACAAATGCTTTTTACTGAATGATTATATAGAGTAACTTCTTGCACTGTTATATTTGTCCATTCAGTTTGTAAAATACATTCTTATTCCTCTGCTTTTGTCCTCATTCTCATTTTGCTATGTTCTTACTCACCATGTGTATACAATTCATACCAGAACGTGCAAATTATGGGCTCCTTTGATGGCTGGTCACATGGTGAGGCAATGTCGAGGGAATATTCAGGGGATTATGCGAGATTCTCTGCGACTCTGAGGCTTAGACCTGGGAGGTATGTTTTATCAGTTCTGCGATGCTGCCACGCTCGCTCTGATTCATTAAATAAATCATCTCCATATGTTTGTGTGCATAATAAAGCTACGAAATCAAGTTCTTGGTGGACGGGGAGTGGAAACTGTCATCAGAATACCCGATTACCGGCGAGGGATTGACACAGAACAATAAACTTGCCGTGGAATAGCAGGTTTTTGCTGCCCCTTAGAACTGTATTAGGGCTGTACCAGATTACTACCATGGGTGTCCTGCAGCGAAATCCGTGTTGTATGAAATGCAAAGCCCCATTTGCTTGATTGGGTCTGCATGCTGTCTTTGTAATTTTGCCTCTTAACTGATCTACTGAAGCCACTTAGGAAAGGATCCTTCTTCCATGAATCCATGTGCTAGGAGCTGATCAAACTAGTTTGAAACTGTTACTGCATGTAAAATACTCTTCAAGTAATAAAATCCCACCCCTTCTATCATTATTCAAACAATGTACCGTGAGTATACAAAGTTACAAAGTGAATCTGCAGAATTTTGAAAGCTCTACCTGACTCCGACGCACGTCAAGGAAGTGACAAAGCCTCCTCATCAGTAACAGCTGTATGGTTAAGGCATGCTTTAGTAAGGCTAATCTGAGCTACCACAGGAGCTCCTATGGTTATCGGCTACCTCCTGCACCATTAGCCTGACAACAGGAGACACCGCTCCGGCTCCGGCAGCCACAGCAGCGGACGCCGGCAGGCCCGGGGCAACATCAAGGCACTCCTGGAAATCGGCATCGCAGGACAGGACCACCCACTCATGGTCGTCGTCGAGGTACTTGATGTCGAAGGCGCCGGCATCTAGGCCCAGCCTCTTGGCCACCTCCTCCTTTACTGCTGCTACGCCGGCGGAGCATGGCACCCTGAACCTGATGATGTCCCCTCTGTAGTTCGCCTTGATGGTCACCAGCTCCCCCTCCGCGCCATTGCTGCGCCACAGCCAAGACTTGCGCATTGTGGTTTTGGTGAGAGGTGGAGGATCTTGGCTTGAGCCTTGGGAGGAGGTGTCTTCTCCTAGAGCACTTGACAGCCATGGCAGATGAGGGGCTGGAGCTCGGCGAGAGGTGGAAGAAGAAGCAGCAGTCGGCTTCGGTGAGCAATCCACCGATTCGATGGCCCTGATCTTGCCGAGTGCACGGTTCACCTTGCTGATCTTCCGGAATGGCCATCTTGATATGCCGTGCTGCCTGCAGATGCGCTTCATTGTCGTCGGGCACACTGTAGAACAAGAGTTTCAGACTCTCAGTTGCCTCATCATGCAGTAAATATTTCGGTTTTTCGATATGGGTAGCGGCTTATACGAATGCAAACCAAGTACCAGATTTTCGACATGTTTCAATGAACTTGGTTGGGAGTCAATTCATTGTGGTGTTCATCTTGGTTAATCTGTGTCGAGAATGTTCTTACCGCCGAGGCTCCTCGCAGCATCTTTCAGGCTCCCTGAGAAGTATCCTTGCAGCTCCTTGAGGCTGACAGGTCTTCCGGCCTTCCTTCCGATCTTCTTCTTCTTCGTCTCCGGTGGTGGTCCGCGATCCTCGGCTCCACTTTGGTCCGCGCCATGGACGCCTCCTGCTTGATCACCGTCCTCCTCGTCTGAATCATTGGTATCATAGTCCCCACGATCGTTCAGTTCATGGGCTGTGTCAGCATCGGCAAGAACGTTCTCCAAGGACAAATCTTGCAGGTCGCTCGTCGCCTCCAGGTGATCGCCGGAGCATTCCTTCCTGATCGTCGCTGCGACGGCGTCCACCATGGCCTTCTGCTCCCCGGCGCTCCTGCAGTCCGGCGGGAGGAAGAACTCCAGCACCACGCATTCCTCCCCTACCTGGCCGTCGTCGCCGACGTCCATGGCGGACTGCGGCAGACGCAGCGGCACGGCGAGGCACCCGGCCAGGCCGTGCATGCGGGCGTAGTGGGCGAGCGGGTAGGCGTCCTTGGACCGCCTGGCGACGTCGGCGCAGAAACGTGGCCCGCGCACCGCCGCCGCCTCGCCCACGAGCCCCTGGCCGCGCCGCAGGTGGTGCTCGGCGCAGGCGTCGCGGAAGCCGCCGTAGTGCGCGCCCAGGTGGAATGGGGCGCCGGCCGTCGTCAGGGAGAAATGCTGGCCGTCGTCGTCGACGTCCGTGCTGGTGCACTGCTTGCACCTGACCCAGGCCTGCGCCAGCGGCAGCTCGTGGGCTTGGCGGACGGCGGCCAGCAGCCCCGACACCTCCGACATGGCCGCCTGAGTCGCCTCTGAGTTGCATATCTGCACATCACATGTTCATAATCAAGAGGTGGCTTCGGAAGTTGCGACTGGTAGATGAACACGAATGGATTATATAACAAGACAAAATTTTGTTTCCAAAGTGCATGTGATTACGCCTCTCTATTGAGTTTGATGCACCAATCAATCAAAAGACTAAGATGTAGAGAAAATGTGTACGAACCCATGGTTCGCAAGTCGCGGCACGCACCTCGGTCGGTGGCACGGGGTGGCAGATCTCCGAGCCTCTCAACGACACTGCCTGCATGCATAGAATGGCAGAAAATGTTAATCGTAGAAGCTTTTAGGATTCATGGCGGCTACCTAGCCAAACATTTCATGGCGGCTGTTTATGCACAAGGAGTAGTAGTAGTTTTTACGGTGGAGCGAGAATGCAAGGAGGAAGCTAGAGGAGAGACGGACGGATGTCTGACCTGGAGGGCCTTGCAGAGCCTGTGGGCCTCGGCGGCGAAGCGGGCGGCGGGGGCGGCGGTGAAGACGAGCTCGAGGACGGCGAGGCAGCGGCGGGGGTCGGCGGGGTCGAGGATGGGGAGGGCGAGGCTGGCCTGGATGTCGTAGATGAGCGCGTAGCTCATGCGCGCGTACTCGCCGGTGCCGTAGAACTGCACGTTGGGCGTCCACTCGGGCGCCCGCGCCTCGAACACCCGCCCCGGCAGCCCGCGCTCCTCCCACGCCGCGCGCTCGCCCTGCCCGCCGCCGCCCACGGCGAACACGTGCGTCAGCGACACCGTCCGGTACTGGAGCAGCCGCCGGCACCTGGAGGGGAGCACGAAGGGCTGCCCGCGGGTCGCCAGCACGCGGCGGCGCTCCCCGTCCCGCGCCGGCGCCCAGACCTGCACCAGCGCGCCGCCTTCGCCGCCGTCGCCGCCGCCGCTGCTCGACTCCTTGTACAGCCGCAGGGCCCGCGCGATCCGCTCCTTCACCGCGCCCCCGCCGTCGGCCTCGCCGAACCCCCCTCCCCGGCCGCCGCTCTCATCACTATCGCCGCCGTCGCTTAGCTGGAGGCTGAAGCCGCCAAGAACTTGCTCCATGTCGGCCTCCACCTCCATCACCATGCCCACCACAAACCACAAACCAGCTACCCAGAAAGACCAAGACAAAAGATCTGCGATCAATGTCGAGCCGCAGCTTCGCAGATCCTAGGTTTAAGCCGCGGGTCAGCGTCGGCTTCTTGTAGGTAGTTTTATCGGTGGAGGAGTCGCGGTGACGGCCCGCGATTG